TTAGTTCTGCGAAGTTTCGTCGACAACATTTGGTTTTGATGAAAATCATCCCTGGAGAAGGGGAACAAAAGGGACAAAGGACAAACATAAATCTCCAAACACAGCTAGGTGACTGGTGCGCGACCGAAAAAATCCCCCTGGTCCGGGTATTGAACCCAGGACCTCTGCAATCTGCGTTACAGGTGGAGCGCTCTATGAACTAAGCTAACCAGGGGTTAGACGTCAGTAGGGCAAACGGGTTCTATCAGCCGCCACCAATCTAACACCAACAAGGGTGAAGCTTTCAATTTAAGATTATTATAATGCAATTAAATGCAAAGGTGCAAACGAGCTGGACAAGAATGATGAAAATTTTCGTCATTCTTGTCCAGCTTGCTTGCACTTTGCATTTAATTGCATTACAATATTTTTTTTTGTCAGTGTTAATCGTAAAAAAGAAATGTCGTAAACATCGCCAAACGTTCACAAAAAAAAATGTTCTAAAAAAAAAAGTATGCCCACACTGGCGGTTGATATGTAGAGAGTTTGGCCATTTGTTGGGAAGTATAGGAGACAAATGTGGAGGCGCCATTGGCTGAAAGTGGGCTGGGCGTGTTCCAGGGCGTCTTCAGAAATTTGAATGTGGCCAACCAGAAGCCGGAAATAATACCCTGGCCGTGGCCGCGCCAAGTGCATCGGAGTAACTCTTGGTGACTGAAAATAAGGAACACGTGATGTTTCAATCACGGTCATCCAAAATCATGGTGGAAGAGTGCGACGAGCGAAATGATTGACATAATCCGTACGCCAAGCGCTGAGAATCTGCCGTCCGAGCGGTCAAACTCTGTCCGAGCAGAACAGAGTTGAGCAACGCATTCATTTCTTACACCTTTCTGCATGATCATGATCGAAACATCACGTTCACCATATTTTCAGTCATGAAGGGTTACTACACTTCACTCTAATGTGCTTATTAAAACTATATACAAACATATACCTTTGATTAAAACAGTTTCTCGCTACCACCGCTAGGGGATTCTTTTCGGCTTCTGATTGGCCAAGAGAGCATGTCAAGCCCACTTTCTGCGTCTGGTGCACGCCCTGGCTCTGCCCGCGCCTCCCATTGACCAATATCTCTGTATACGGCTCTGCACTCTGCTACGCCACCGCTTCGGAAGCTCGTTGTAACCATTCGATTTATACGAGTTTTGCGTCGTGCGTATACCCATTTCCGGTCGAGGTGGGCGACATAGTGCAAATAGCTTTACTCTTTTAAAAATGTTTCATGAACGTCATGTTTCACCCCGCGTGCGCCGTTCCGCGATGGTTTTAAACAACCCTGAATTAATTTCAGCTATCAAAATTCTATGCACAGGCCACTGAAGCGGCTGAGGTGAGCAGGGGGAGATTGGAGTTGTTGCAATGTCAGCTTTCACTTTAAGTCGCGCATTGCAAGAGGAAAGCGGTTCACGCTGATACAATGCGAAACAGAACAGCCCACGATCTTATGGTGAATTCCGCTCGCAGATCTCGAGCACTCCAAAAGCGCCCCCTTTTGAGCGTGCATATTCCACTTGCAGATCTGGCTCGAGTTGGCCGTCCTCCGCTCTAAGATCTCTGGCAGCACCCGCTCCATGGAGCGCCTCCAACCCCGCCGAACTTGCTCCGCGGGATTTCACAGATCTATCCAAAACTTGACCGAGCGCATACATAATTTCCTTTTTAACTGGACAGTGCGCATGCGCGGGGAGGTTGGCGAGGTCGGCGGACCGGTCCGGTCGATCGGGCCGTCAGGTTGGATCTGTTTGGATGCATTGGTTGTTTACGCAGGATTGTGACGGCTCGAATGCTTCTACATCCCATGAATCAGGTATACAAAGCCGGGACTGGAGCGTGGTAAATCGTAAGTGCTGACATGCGTGATCGTGAGAGGAAGAACGAGAAAAAGAACGACAGAAAATCTGGAGGCAGACGCAAGGTTAGGCCTGCTCATTCTGCAGCCAATGATTGTTTACCTTTTTACACTGCATGCCGCCGGCGTTTCCTCGTGCAATAAAGCAAGAACAGATTAGGCAGCGACCGTGCATGTGATGGTTTGTTACCTCATTGTGTTTATTCAAGTCATACCAGCAATCTGAACTCCACTTATGGCAATCGCTGTGCGTGCCCCGCAGCGTCGAGGCGGCCAAAAGGTACTTGACGGTGGCGAACGCGGACGTCTACCTCGTTATTCGTGAAACGGGCTCCACGGTACGGACATTTTCGCCTGGCCCGCGTCGCGTGTTATTTCTGCAGCTAAACAGTGACAGTTTTCACTGGTCGTCGGAAACATCAGTCAGCTGAGGCGTTGGTGGGCTTGCCAAGCTCGAGCAGAGGCCATTTGAACGACCGAGGGGGAAGCGGGGGAAAATGCGAGTTTATCTTCCCCTCGTCGATTCTGAGCGGGTCCCACGGAGCGGAATCTCGCCTCCCTCGCGGATCTTGGAAAGCGCTCCGGATCTACGAGTGGAATTCACCATTGGACTGATCGGCGACCCGTGCGTACGCGAGCTATAACGGCATCTGGGTTGGAAAACAACGCTCCTACCATGAAACTGCGACCGCCGGCACTACAAACAACGGGAATATCGCAAACCCGAGATGCCGTGCCGGCCAAATGTCCACTTCGTTCGAAGAAAGGAAACAATAGAGCGCGGTAGATGGCACCGTGCAACATACGATAGTAAAGCCCCTTGATAAAAGCGTTTTTTACAAGTACCGCCAACCATTGTTGTGGAAGCGCGCCAGACACGTGCCATGAGCGGGTGCTCCGCCGCCATTCTCTTCCAAGGCCCGCTCATTTCCGTGCTGCGCCGCCATTTGCTTCCAAGGGCCGCTCGAGACATGGGCCTCGTGCACTTGCGCATTTGACGCTACTTGCAAGACAAACGCAAACACATCGAGGGGCTTTATACGATAGCACACTTGGGAAATTTAATACGTCCGCATGCTTCAAATAGTCTACCACAGTAACTTATTAAAGGAGCAATGCTATCACTTACCTGCCATTTCGTTCACGAAGGCTGGGTAGTAGCCTTCGTCTTCACCATCTTCGCCACGCCAATACGCCTGTACCCTAGACAACTTGTCGAAGTCGCCTGGTGTCTCCGGACTGAACTCTTTCATCAGTGAAACAGGAAGAATGGCACGTTGCCCGTCCTGCGCGTACCGAACGTACGCGAACATGCTGACGAACTACGAGCAGTACGAGGTTCAGAAAGACAAACCACGTAAACAGACCAAGGTAACAAAGCAACAAGCTGTGCGGATTGGTTTGGATTGGCTGAACAAATAAAACATTTCTGAATTTGCTTACTTCGACGATGTCAACCCGAGTAGTAAACGAAAAACTATATCCATATACACTAAATATTTTTTTTCTTTAGTAGTCATTATTTTAACCATATATTTGCTAAGGCAGCTTATATTTGGCTCAACAAGCACAAACGCATCATCATCAACAAGCATAATTTGTTTATCGACATAGCAGTTGGGCAACGCTGGGTGCGGCAGTCTGCTCGTTTCATCGCATTCGTGCTCTTGGATCCACGCTCACTAGCAGTGCTCTCCGCATTTCACGTCATTTTCTTAAAAACTTTGTACTTTGAATCGCTGGACGCGATGTGTAATATCACATTTCGTTAATTTCAATAGCAATATGACAAGCCTTCCGTCCTATAAGCGACGGAAGCGGTACCTTGATGTGGGCGAAGAATTGCTGATTCCCAAGTCGACGTATTACCGCCGGCTGAAAGAAATAGGAACTTTAGATTCGCGGACTCCGATATCAGAACCGAGTTCACCAAAAATATCTGACGACTCCAACATTGGTGGCGATCTGGAGAGCGAAGACGAGCAAGAGCCGATCGACTCCGATAGCAGCCAAGATGTATACGCGTCGTCCCCGGTGCCGCCAGAATTTGCGATCGACTACGGTAACAGCCAAGATCTGTGCGCGTCATCCCCAGTGCCGGCAGAAAGAAGCGTCAATGAAGACCCGATGAGCGAGTCGGCGAGTGATCGCGACTTTATCGCGACGTCTGACGATGAGCGCAGCGCGGCCAGCGACTTCGACGAGGAGCCGCCCGACTTCCAGCCAGGGCCAGTGTTCGAGGACATACTCTCGTCGTGCTTCGAACAGTTCGGAGCGGAAAAACTGCCGAACACGGAGACGACCAAGGCAGGAGCGATTGCCATGGTAATGTCATTTATTGCAGGAAATGGCTTAACTTGGACTGCGCTTGGGCAGTGTGTCTGCATGATTAATACCATTTTCGGCAAAGATGTCCTGCCTCAGACGAAGTATGTTTTTCGGAAACTCTGGGCTGGCAAAACTAAGGATCTGGTTAACTACCACTACCTCTGCCCAAGTTGTGAGGGCATGATGAAGATGGAAGGCGCGGCAGGACACTGCGAAGTCTGCCAGCAGAAGGTAACTCAAAAGAAGCTAAGGGCGCAAGGCTCATTTTTCATGATGCTGGACATGGAAAAGCAAGTCAAGTTCCTTATTGGCAAGACCAAGGATGCCCTCGGGGAGAACCTGCTCCGACCTGCTGCAAGCCCCGATGACCCCATCACAGACATCACCACGGGCAAGGGATACCGAAAGATGCGTGAAGAGGCGAAGTTGGCAGTTGATGACTTGACGCTGAATATCAACACGGATGGTAGTCCCGTCTTTGAGTCCTCAAAGACCTCTGTCTGGCCCATCCAGTTCGTCATCAACGAGCTGCCACCTCATGTGCGCTTCAAGCACCCAACCCTTGCCGGCCTCTGGTTCGGGAAAACTCACCCAAATATGCAGACTTTCATCGGCACATTTGTGGAAGCAGTGAACTCCATGCAGCCCGTCAAGTGGAAGCATGGGTCCCACCTGTACCAGTCCAAGGCCTTCGTCCTCTGCTGCTCCGTGGATGCCCCGGCACGAGCAGCAGTTCAGAACATGGTGCTGTTCAACGGTTACGATGGCTGTCCATGGTGTCTGATCACGGGCGAATACCGTGAAGGTAGGGAACAATTATATTTATACGGCGAGCAAGTTGTCTTCTCGTGGAGAGGGTAGAAGAGGTGCCAAGAGTGACGTCACGATGCCGCGTTCTGATTGGACGATGCTGACATGGAGAAACATAGCTTTGTTGTCTGCTAGTCATAGCAGTGACTGCCCTGCCTGCCTTGCCTGCAAGAGATCTACCGATTCTGTATGGACTAGGACTCTATCTTCGTCAAACGGGAGGGGAAATAGCTCGAAGGGCATTCTGAATTAATTGATTTATGCTCTGTGCGCTAGGGTGTAGTGGAACGGTAAAGCCAAAATCTGTTTGTCATATTTCAAAGTTTGACACAACTGAACTGTAAAATAAGGGGATGGGAGAGTAACGTAACTATTGACACCTCCCCTACCCTCTCCGTGAGAAGCACACAACTTGCTTGCTGTATTGAGTGAACAGACCTGTATAGCAATGATTTGGGTGGCCTGCAGTAATGAGACGGACTTGTATGCAACGCTTTGGATTAATTAAAGTTGTCTCTCACAGGGAGCATGCGCTACATCGCTGATGAGCCTCCAGCTCTCAGGTCATCAGCTATGGTTTCCCGCGACATGCAGCTGGCACTGGCATTCAAGGATAGTGTCAACGGCATCAAAGGCCCTTCAGCAATGATGAACCTCCCAGGTGTGTCTCTTTTTGCTGTTTATCTACCCCGAGTGTCTTTTTAAGCACAAAATATGTTTGTGGGCTGGTTTCAGCACTTATACACCGACGCTTTGATCTCACTTTGAACGGTCCGAAAAAATTGGTTTCTCAATGTATTTGCAGGAATTTCGTACAGAGGTGCGGCTAGGTGGTGCAAGCATGGAGTCAGCGCGATATTGATATTTCCAAGGTGGTGCCTGTCCCTAGCCCATATTTATGCTGAAAGATCGGCGCTAAAATTTCGCTTCCGTACCCCTTAAAACTGATGAACTTTCCTCGTTCACGAAAGAAAAATGAAAAACCTGTCTTGGGCGATCTACAGCGCCGTTTTGCAGGTGACGCAGACGGTGCTTGTTCACTTGAAGACGCTGCCAACAGAGGGTGCAACTGCATCGAAAGAATGCGGGGTGATCTAATTCGGGTTTTGATAGCACATGACTTGGCGAAAGTTTCTCAGTTGTGCCATTGTCGGCGGCGTCTCTAAGCGAACAACCACCGTCTGCGTTGCCCGCAAAATGGCAGCGTAGATTGCCCAAAACAGGTTCTTTTTTTTAATATTTCTTGAATGAGATAAGTTCATATGTTAATATTTTAACTCTATGCTTGCACCACCTAGCCGCACCTCTTTGGTAAATTCCAGCAGGGTACGTTGAGAAACCGATTTTTTCGGACCGTTCAAATCGATATTGAAGAGTTGGTGTACATACTGTAGTGACACCTTCCTGAATCCTGGGAAACGAAAGTCTGCAGCGGAAGGGTGTCGTTTGAGACAGAAGTCGATCAGACAAAATGTTAATGCCTTAAAAGCTCTGGAGAAGGCGTAGATTGAACCGGGGTCTTTCGTGTTGTGAACCTGATGCTGAATTAGCGGCGCTAATGGAGGGCACAAGGAAAGCGAGCTCGATATGTCATCTCTCAGCTGCTGACAGTTCCGAACGCACTGATCTAAAGTAAATTTTTGTAACTTTGAGTTTAAGAGCCTACCGCATCCAGTGCTGCTCTGTCTGTGTTGTTGCTTGATAGGGCCCACTGGGGTAGCTAGGATACAGTGGAATAAGGTTTCAAGCATTGTCACACTCACTCAGATGGTGCAAGAGTGTGCATGAGCAACACCACCTACACTCATATCACCTCAAGAAAAAAGTATGTTTTGTGCATGATCCCTGTGCTGCACAAAGTAATTCTTACAAGAGTTGGTTACCAAAAAAAGAAACAAGGCTCTTTTGCATTTGCAATGTGCACAATTTGACAAAATGACAAATACCTCGTTCTGTATGCACCCTTAGTATTTTAACCTCACCACGTAAAAGAAGCTAATATCGCTCCGCAAGATGCCTCCCTTTTTCATTATAGTTCTTGAGCGGGAAATGAGTATAGACAAGCTTCAAGCCTCACCGCTAAATTTTCAGTGGCACCTAAAATATGTTGGCCCAGGGCCCACATTGAACATGAGCGCCACGCCAGCATTTGGCTTAAACTCATATTGCCGCATGTGTGTCGCGGTCGACAGGTGGTATAGCACCTGACTATCACGCAGAAGTCCCAGGTTCGAATCCCGGGACTGGATAACATTTTTTGTTAATTCGTAAAACCTGTGGTTCTCGAAAATTGGAGAATCTTGTCATTTGTTCTAGATCAGAATGTTCTAGTGCCAAATATTGTGGTAAGAACGTTCCAGAACATGAAGTGGCTATAAAAGAAGCTCTGCATGGCCGTACGAATTCATTCCATTGCCAGCTTTGATCCTGCTGTTATGCCGAGATTCGACGCCTGTGACGCCCTGTTATCCCTTTTAATTTGGGCAAAAGTTCGCCCCCATTAAACATTCATTTTCTTCACTCATGTTTTGCCTCGCCACTATTTATTAGTGACAATATTCTTACTGATTAGTCTGGCCCGGATATATAAGCACTAGAAACGTTCAAAATAGGCAGGTATTTAGGCTCCAAAACCCCGATATAGTGAGTGAAAAAGGCACATTAAACTTGGCATCGATTCTGTTAACTGCGCCGCAAGGAAACATTACATAATACCACAAAGGGTAACACTTTTGCTGATTTAGAACTGAACAAGCAATTTAAGTTGCTACAGAAACCGAATGTCGTGGCAATAATAAGAAAAGGCTAGCCTTCCCCTGCCTCACACCAATGCTCGGAACTACTGAGTTTCGTGAGAGTGGGCTGCAATGAATGATATCTTCAGGCTTTCAAACAAAGCTTCTTCTATTCTTCCCAAGCATTGCTTTGTACTTTCACTAAGTTCTTTCAAAGTTACTCCATGTAAGACTTGTGCATGTGAAGCACAAATCTTCATCTAGACTAAGCTCTTCTCGAAGGAATTCATCTTTTTCAGTTAGTGCACTTCTTTCTTATCTTTAGCAGAGCTGAAAGTTCCTGAATTCTTTTTGTCCCTCCATTTAGCTAGTGGTACTGGTGCCCTGCCTGTCACTTTGAAGTCCCCCTTGTGCATTTTCCGCTTGTGAGCGGAGATTGCTGAAGCGGTCTCCGCTCATGGGTGCAAGCAGAATGAAATATTTTAAAAATAGTGGTATGCCAGAGAAGCGAACAAAGACGAGATAAGACCTTTAAATTGGCATAATAGGGGCAAAATAATTTAAAAAAAAAATTGTGCTTTCTGAAGGGAATTAGAAAAAAGGCAGGGACACTTTAAGAGGCCCTACTGATTAGACACAAGTCCCAGCTAAATGTTGACGCAGAACTCATGTCCAGTCTGTGCTAAGTGCTACCTTGTTCGAGGTGATTACGAAAATCCAGCACTGGGGCTGCTTAAAGCTTGACTAGGCAGTGTTGGCAGGAGGTGAGGGGGGAGAGAGAAGTACACACTCGGGGGGGGGGGTGTAAAGGGGGAGGACAAGGCAGCAGGGTCAAAGCTGGGACTTGCAACAGCTAGAAAAACAAAATTGGTGTTTCACTCCCGCTGGAGTGAAACTTTGGTGCGGCTTTCTTTCGGAGATGACGACGAGAGTGTTTGCGTCGTCGAGGCACAAAATGTGCACCAAGTTCATTTCTACAGCACATTCGGTCACAAGTGCCTTTGCCACGACAGTGCAGGAACTGGAGTAAATTGTTTTGTATTTTGGGATATTTTAAATTATTTATATTTTTTAGAAAATGTTAAGTTCACAAATTTTTCATGCAGAAAAATTCTAAAGCATTGTATATGTAGTCTCTTTGCAATGCCACAAACTGGGATCTCACAATTTACTAAATAATTAGCCATCTCAAACCTTTTGGATGGATAACTGAAGCAGAATTATAGCTCAAGTGCAGTACAGCTGGTGACCACCTATAGGCTCACAGATCATTATTTATAGTGACCACACCCCGGTTTCTATCAGAGGTCATATGGAATTAATGGGGGATGTTTGCTTGCTCGCAGGTTTTGATCTCGTCACTGGCTACAGTGTCGAGTACATGCATTGCGTGCTGCAGGGAGTGGCAAAGCAGGTGGCTGAACTGCTTTTCTCCTCGTCAAACTCAAACCAGCATTTCTACATAGGTACAGTACCTATCCGCCATACCTCTTGTGCTTAAGTTCTTCCGAGTTTTGCGAATGCTGACCAGACAAACTTCCTTCTGGTTTTGAATTGCAGGAACTGCGGCCACTTTGGCGAGGGTCAACGCTAGGCTTCTCTGCATAAAGCCTCCGCATTGCATCACCAGGCTTCCTCGGTCATTGTGTGAGCGGAGCTACTGGAAAGCATCGGAGTGGCGCCACTGGCTGCTCTTCTACATGCTCCCCTGCCTGCAGGGCATCCTTCCAGTAGACTACTGGAAGCTGCTTGCAAAGCTCTGTGAGGCTGTCCACATCCTTTTGAGGGACAGTATCGCTCTTCATGAGATCCAACAGGCAGGTAAGTTGGCACTCAGGAATAAGAGTAAAATTTCAAAAACTAATTATTTTTGCTTTGGACGACTATTATGCTAGGGAGTGTCTACATCCACGCCAGGGGACGTAGCCACGTCGGGAGGAGATAAGGCTCCATCCACGCACTACGTCACTTCCGGCGCACCACGTCACTTCCTGCGTGGACGGAGGCAGTTCTTTTTTTCTTGGTCGAGGAGTTTGGCCTTTTGTGCATTAGCACGGTCGCGCTTCTGATATGCCTCGAGTTTTGGTTGCCGGGGATTCGATGGTGAAATACTTGTCCCAGTATTTCTCTTCGAATAACCGGATGGCTGTCGAAGTGCGGGCGTTTAGTGGCATTAGGATCGAGGCTTTGTTTTCCAAGGTGTCTGACACAATGCTCGATTTTGGCCGTGCGTTACAAATACCGTCGGCTGGCCGCTCAGATCTTGGATTGCAGTCCGGCGATGCAAATCGTCTTTTCTTCCGTCCTTCCGAGGTGGGAGAATAAGTTTTCTTCGTTGGAGTGTCAGCGTAGTCAGAGTGCCGAAATCCAGGAGTTGAATGATCGACACGGAGACGTGAACTGGCTCCTGCAGGAGTTCTGCCGCAAGGAGGGCTTCGTGTTTATTGGTGATCACGTGGACGAGTGGCATCTGTGCATCGGCTACTGTTTTATTTGTCATAAAATAACCTGTTTCTGGAATCATTTACCCAGTTTTCTCGATTGAATGCTCTCATTATGTTTGTTATTACTTGGACTAATGCATGTTTTCCCTTCTCTCACAATCTTTGGGAGATTGCGAGCGTGCGCGCAAGTCAAAAACATACGGAGCGGTGGGCTCGCACTTGTCCCCTTTGATGCACATAAGCTCACACTAAAACGCCTCTAACCAAGCCAACTACACACACGACGAAGACCCACCAGCCTCACCGCCCCGCCTCAGCAGCGATGTACAGATGGGCTAAAGCCCCGGGGACCTTAGCCCATGTGTGCGTGTGTGCGTGCGGGCTCCCGCACGCATGCCGCCTACACACGTGTGTGACTCCTGGACAACATAACTATAAAGATATTTATTGATACTATTTTTTGACGCATGATATTTGCTATTAGTCTTAGAAAACAGTAAAAAAACTAATAAAGTGTTTAAGATTTTATAAGGTCACGTGACATATTAACTTTAAAAACAACAATAAAATGTCACCTCTTTATTTTTATATCCCATATTTACTTATAAGAAAGCATAATATGTACATCAAAAGAAATTATGTGCTTATATTATAAGTCACGTGACCTTTTGCGTGGATGGAGCCTTATCTCCTCCCGACTTGGCTACGTCCCCGCGCGTGGATGTAGCCTCGGCCATTATGCTACCAGTCATGGAATGCTAATAAAAGTGTTACTGCAGACAGAAGTTATGAAAGTGGTGATAATAACAGAGGGGATGTTCATATGCATTGCAACAGTTGCCATGTAATGTCTATATATCACAGTATATTGTCCCACTAGCTTCGGGCATTGCACGAAATAAGTAGGTTAATGGAAAAAATGTGAAGCAGCATATATCAATGGACAGGGAGGGCGATGATGTATTGGAGTAGTTTTCATCTGGTGACTGCAACCAGTGATGTAGAGCTGGAATGTTTGATATGTCTTTTAATCACCCAGGCACATAGCCACGGGGGAGGCCCATGGGGCCCGGCCCCCCCCCCCCCCTATATCTTCCATTTTGCGGAGACCTCCTCTCCTCCCTCCCCCTCATCCAGCATTTTGTCTGCCTCTTCAATTTTTTGTAATGCCCATGGCATCGCCGCCGAAATTCTGGTGAATATTTCTGTTTCCACTTGAGTGTTGCAACGCTTCCACCAAAATTTGATGCAATACCTCTGTTCAAGCTGTTTGGCTGTTTTGCAGAAAAAAAAAATGACGAGCACCGATTACGATCATCTGGTGGGCTAGTTGGTTGGATCATTATGTGGAATTAACAACGCAAATACAAGGAAGGATAGTTGAGGGAGACATGATAGAGTGCAGACTAACAACTGACGTTTATCATCCCTTTTTTCTTGTATTTGTGCTGTTAATTCCACATAATGAGCACTGACAACACTTCCTCACTCAGAGGCTGATTGCCCGCAACTCACATTTTTTGCGGGCCTGATAAAATTCATGCCTGCACATTAATGTTCCCTCCACCTCCCCAGCGGAGGACGCTGTCTGCACTTTATTTGTTTCCGTGGCACAAATTCAGACACATAAAAAAATGTTTGAAAAGCGGCAGAGGCTTTATTGCACGACGTTTCGGAAAGAGACTTTTCTTCCTTTCCAGCAGTCTGTGCCAGCAAAAATTTTGAAATGAAAGAATGGAGCATTAAGTTGCAGCATTTAGGCGTGTGAAAATGTGCTCATAATGTCTGGGTACTCAACTTCGTTCTGTTTTCTGTTTTGTTTTTCAGAGCTGCTGCTCGAGACCTTCGTTGGCCGCAGCAAGACACTGTTTGGCGTGACCTCTGCCACATTTAATGTGCACCAGTTGCTACACCTATGCAACTGTGTCCGTCAGCTCGGCCCACTCTGGGCCCACTCTGCCTTCGTTTTCGAAGGGGGGAATGGCAGGATTGTGAAGCTCGTGTCAGCCGCGCGAGGACTCCCTGACCAGATTTTGGAGCGGGTCGTGATGGCTCAACAGGTTGAGTGTCTCCTGGCAACAGCGAAGTTGCCCGACAGGGAACAGGATGTGTGCACGAGGTTTCTCGGTTTCCCTCCTATTCAGAATGCAAGCCATGTGGAGGGAACATGTCTGCTTGGATGTGGAAGCGCTGTAAGCTTGAGTGCAGTGGAAAAGCGTGCTCTTGAGCAGCACTGTGATTTACCTTGCACCCCTGGAACGGAGTATGAACGCTTCGTCTTTGACCGTAAGGTATTCCACAGTGCTGCCTACACTAGGCCAGAAAAAAGCAACACCACGGTCGTCTCCACACAAGATGGGGAGTACTACAAGATTGAAAAAATCATCCTGTTGTCACTTCCCGCCCAGACATGTGTCCTCCTCTGCCGTCCAATTGTCCTGATGGAGGAATCATGCATGCCACCGCACATCAAGGAATGTTTTCTTTCAGAAAGCGAGGCCCTGACCGTCCTACAGCCCAGTAGTATCAAGGACAGCTGCCTGTATATAGACTTTGTCAGTGAAAACAAGTCATTTGTGTGTGATCTACCAAACAGCATTGAGAGGGATTAGTTCAACTCGCTTTTGTGTAAATATGTTATTCTATGTAAATATCACATTTGGTTGACCCACTGTAGATAGGGGAATTTGATACTGTAAAGCATGTTGCAAAATGTTTTGCACGTGTTTGTTTTCTGTAGGAACGGTATACTCGAATGCAAAGACAAAATTTATTCTCAAGTACAAAGCACCACTAAGGTGGTACCAAAGGAGTCCTTTCAGTTGTTTCAAATTGTATAAACAGAAGAGAGCTGCATGTACATAAACTTTCCTTACAGAAAGAAACTTCATTTGTGATTTACTTCATGTCATGTAAAAAGGCTGCTATAATCACAGAAAAAAGCCAAGAGATATGCAAAGCAGAAATTACCATATAGACCAACGAGCACGTGTCCTTGCACACAAAATAAAAGAGGAGGAGGATAGTGATGGTGACACCCTGGGGGGTTTAATAGAATGTGACGATGCTGGGTCTCAATATTATGCTCTACAGAGAAGCGTGGAAACAACTATAAGTCAAGCATGACGACATTTAATGAAATGACACCGAGATAAAAACTTTCCTTGCGGTACAATTTCAAAAATAGTGGGTTGGTATTTCTATCAGTCTTTTCTGCCCTTATTCCTAAATAAAACTAGCTTTTTATCTGGAACAAAATCTTTAGCTTCGTTGACTTTTTGGATTGATGGCATGAAACCATTTCCCATTTTGATTCCGACGGGATTTTATACACAGGTTTAATATAATGGTGGAAGCATCTAGTAAAATTGTGAAAGGATTAGCTCACCTCAATAAAACAAAAAAATCGGACTATATATCTTCTCATGCATCACATGTAGACATAAATAAAAATTTGGGTCACTGTGGTATTTATTTTGGACAAATGAAGCGAATAATATCAGAAAATTGTTTCCTCTCCATTACACTTTTTTTTTTCAGTCGTAATAAACACCAGAATAATATTTTGATGATTTGAAAAAGGGACGGCGAGAATTTTTCCAGGGACAAAAAATTGCGAGACATTTACGTTTCTCTGTAATGCGAAGTTAGAGCACAGCTCTTGAGGTGTTTTGATTTTCCTATATACTGTTGGTAAAGAATTTAATTGGGTATTTTTCTTCTACCTATAAATGGTGCATATATACACCAATTAATTAAAATAGGTAATCACGTGCCTCTATACCCTCCTGCTCCTCTTCTATACCTTCCTCTCCTCCTCTGGAAAATATTCAAATTTTTTTTTTCTTCCTCCAGTTACGGCGACGGCGAGGCCGCGAAATGCGGGAATGGGCGCCTAAAAACTGCGCTATGAAACTTTTTTTATTTTTTTTTGTCACTCCGAGAGTCGGTTTTCATACTTTCAGTTGATGAATCCACCACCTTTGGGCACCCCTGTAGTAAATCGTTGCATGATACGTTCCCAAGTTCATTTTTACGAGTCATCTTAAATACCCTGCAGATCAGCGAACACGAGAGCGGTCGTGTCCGTTCACGTCGTCTCCGAGTGGTCTCGTACCTGCTATGGCTTAGACTTTTGCCTGTCGCAAAAAGCAAGTTGCCGGTGATCGCTGCCCACATTTTTGGATCGTTAAAACAGTTCGCTGCACGTACTTCTTGAGGGTTGCAACGTCGTCCCGAGCTAAAACTCGCACTCACGTCCCATAAATCTGTTCAAGCGCGTTCGCCAAACGCCGAATGCCGTAACGCCGTAACGCCGACGTTCGCAACGAGAATGCCGTTCGAGTGGTCTCGTACCTGCTCTGGCCCAGACTTTTGCCTGTCGCAAAAAGCAAGTTGCCGGTGATCGCTGCCCACCTTTTTGGATCGTTAAAACAGTTCGCTGCACGCACTTCTTGAGGGTTGCAACGTCGTCCCGAGCTAAAACTCGCACTCACGAGAACGCCGCCCGAGTGGTCTCATACCTGCTCTGGCCCAGACTTTTGCCTGTCGCAAAAAGCAAGTTGCCGGTGATCGCTGCCCACCTTTTTGGATCGTTAAAACAGTTCGCTGCACGTACTTCTTGAGGATTGCAACGTCGTCCCGAGCTAAAACTCGCACTCACGAGAACGCCGCCCGAGTGGTCTCGTACCTGCTCTGGCCCAGACTTTTGCCTGTCGCAAAAAGCAAGTTGCCGGTGATCGCTGCCCACCTTTTTGGATCGTTAAAACAGTTCGCTGCACGTACTTCTTGAGGATTGCAACGTCGTCCCGAGCTAAAACTCGCACTCACGAGAACGCCGCCCGAGTGGTCTCGTACCTGCTCTGGCCCAGACTTTTGCCTGTCGCAAAAAGCAAGTTGCCGGTGATCGCTGCCCACCTTTTTGGATCGTTAAAACAGTTCGCTGCACGCACTTCTTGAGGGTTGCAACGTCGTCCCGAGCTAAAACTCGCACTCACGAGAACGCCGCCCGAGTGGTCTCATACCTGCTCTGGCCCAGACTTTTGCCTGTCGCAAAAAGCAAGTTGCCGGTGATCGCTGCCCACCTTTTTGGATCGTTAAAACAGTTCGCTGCACGTACTTCTTGAGGATTGCAACGTCGTCCCGAGCTAAAACTCGCACTCACGAGAACGCCGCCCGAGTGGTCTCGTACCTGCTCTGGCCCAGACTTTTGCCTGTCGCAAAAAGCAAGTTGCCGGTGATCGCTGCCCACCTTTTTGGATCGTTAAAACAGTTCGCTGCACGTACTTCTTGAGGGTTGCAACGTCGTCCCGAGCTAAAACTCGCACTCACGTCCCATAAATCTGTTCAAGCGCGTTCGCCAAACGCCGAATGCCGTAACGCCGTAACGCCGACGTTCGCAACGAGAATGCCGTTCGAGTGGTCTCGTACCTGCTCTGGCCCAGACTTTTGCCTGTCGCAAAAAGCAAGTTGCCGGTGATCGCTGCCCACCTTTTTGGATCGTTAAAACAGTTCGCTGCACGCACTTCTTGAGGGTTGCAACGTCGTCCCGAGCTAAAACTCGCACTCACGAGAACGCCGCCCGAGTGGTCTCATACCTGCTCTGGCCCAGACTTTTGCCTGTCGCAAAAAGCAAGTTGCCGGTGATCGCTGCCCACCTTTTTGGATCGTTAAAACAGTTCGCTGCACGTACTTCTTGAGGATTGCAACGTCGTCCCGAGCTAAAACTCGCACTCACGAGAACGCCGCCCGAGTGGTCTCGTACCTGCTCTGGCCCAGACTTTTGCCTGTCGCAAAAAGCAAGTTGCCGGTGATCGCTGCCCACCTTTTTGGATCGTTAAAACAGTTCGCTGCACGCACTTCTTGAGGGTTGCAACGTCGTCCCGAGCTAAAACTCGCACTCACGAGAACGCCGCCCGAGTGGTCTCGTACCTGCTCTGGCCCAGACTTTTGCCTGTCGCAAAAAGCAAGTTGCCGGTGATCGCTGCCCACCTTTTTGGATCGTTAAAACAGTTCGCTGCACGTACTTCTTGAGGGTTGCAACGTCGTCCCGAGCTAAAACTCGCACTCACGAGAACGCCGCCCGAGTGGTCTCATACCTGCTCTGGCCCAGACTTTTGCCTGTCGCAAAAAGCAAGTTGCCGGTGATCGCTGCCCACCTTTTTGGATCGTTAAAACAGTTCGCTGCACGTACTTCTTGAGGGTTGCAACGTCGTCCCGAGCTAAAACTCGCACTCACGAGAACGCCGCCCGAGTGGTCTCGTACCTGCTCTGGCCCAGACTTTTGCCTGTCGCAAAAAGCAAGTTGCCGGTGATCGCTGCCCACCTTTTTGGATCGTTAAAACAGTTCGCTGCACGCACTTCTTGAGGGTTGCAACGTCGTCCCGAGCTAAAACTCGCACTCACGAGAACGCCGCCCGAGTGGTCTCATACCTGCTCTGGCCCAGACTTTTGCCTGTCGCAAAAAGCAAGTTGCCGGTGATCGCTGCCCACCTTTTTGGATCGTTAAAACAGTTCGCTGCACGTACTTCTTGAGGGTTGCAACGTCGTCCCGAGCTAAAACTCGCACTCACGAGAACGCCGCCCGAGTGGTCTCATACCTGCTCTGGCCCAGACTTTTGCCTGTCGCAAAAAGCAAGTTGCCGGTGATCGCTGCCCACCTTTTTGGATCGTTAAAACAGTTCGCTGCACGTACTTCTTGAGGGTTGCAACGTCGTCCCGAGCTAAAACTCGCACTCACGAGAACGCCGCCCGAGTGGTCTCGTACCTGCTCTGGCCCAGACTTTTGCCTGTCGCAAAAAGCAAGTTGCCGGTGATCGCTGCCCACCTTTTTGGATCGTTAAAACAGTTCGCTGCACGCACTTCTTGAGGGTTGCAACGTCGTCCCGAGCTAAAACTCGCACTCACGAGAACGCCGCCCGAGTGGTCTCATACCTGCTCTGGCCCAGACTTTTGCCTGTCGCAAAAAGCAAGTTGCCGGTGATCGCTGCCCACCTTTTTGGATCGTTAAAACAGTTCGCTGCACGCACTTCTTGAGGGTTGCAACGTCGTCCCGAGCTAAAACTCGCACTCACGAGAACGCCGCCCGAGTGGTCTCATACCTGCTCTGGCCCAGACTTTTGCCTGTCGCAAAAAGCAAGTTGCCGGTGATCGCTGCCCACCTTTTTGGATCGTTAAAACAGTTCGCTGCACGTACTTCTTGAGGGTTGCAACGTCGTCCCGAGCTAAAACTCGCACTCACGAGAACGCCGCCCGAGTGGTCTCATACCTGCTCTGGCCCAGACTTTTGCCTGTCGCAAAAAGCAAGTTGCCGGTGATCGCTGCCCACCTTTTTGGATCGTTAAAACAGTTCGCTGCACGTACTTCTTGAGGGTTGCAACGTCGTCCCGAGCTAAAACTCGCACTCACGAGAACGCCGCCCGAGTGGTCTCGTACCTGCTCTGGCCCAGACTTTTGCCTGTCGCAAAAAGCAAGTTGCCGGTGATCGCTGCCCACCTTTTTGGATCGTTAAAACAGTTCGCTGCACGCACTTCTTGAGGGTTGCAACGTCGTCCCGAGCTAAAACTCGCACTCACGAGAACGCCGCCCGAGTGGTCTCATACCTGCTCTGGCC